AGGCCGCCAGCACATTTTCCAGATTTGCCTTCAGCTAGTCCAGGGAGCTTGTTGGGCAAGTTACTTTGTGTATGTTGACAGCAACTAGGCACTTTGAGTGGACAACCTAGGCTGGAAATGTCAGATTACAAAAGAAAAATGCTGACTTTCAAAAACATATCAATCTCACACCAAAGTTAACACCCCCCCCCCCCAGGATATTGTAGTTTTCCTTTAAGGAGTGTCTAGGGTGAACAAAGGATCTTCCTTCCCTCGTCTTCTCCAACCCTTTAATGAATCAATTTCTGTAGATACAGAATCTCTTCGTGTTTCATACTTTGAAATGTGAGTATTTGTATGTACATGAGATACCTTGAGAGTTGGGAACCAAGTGTAAAAAAAAATCATTCATGACATATATACACTTTGTACACACAGCCTATCGTGTCAGATCCGAGTTGAGGGTACAGTTAAAATGCATTTAAAAACACAAAGTTTAAAAAAAACCTTCCTATTATGCTAAATGTCCTTTGACCAGGAGCTGGCCACTTGGAGTGTTGTGAGAAGATCCTCCATTGTGCATGTGGCCGGGCTCAGGTTGTAATGTAGTAGGTGGTCTGTGGTTTGCTCTTCTCCACACTCTTATGTTGTGGATTCCAGTTTGTGGCCCCATTTCTTAAGGTTAGTTCTGCATCTTGTGGTGCCAGAGCACCGCAGCCTGTTCAGCGTCTTCCAGGTCATCCACTCTTCTGTGTGTCCAGGAGGGAGTTTCTTATCTAGTCTCAGCCACTGATTGAGGAGCTGGGTTTTAGCCTGCCACCTCTAGACTCTCGCTTGCTGAGGTATTCCTGCGAGTCTCCCTGTAGATCTTAGGAAGTTATTTCTTAATTTAAGGTGTTGGCGTGCTGGCTGATATCCAAACAGTGGATGGGTCAAAGATGTCAATGCCTTGGTCCTTTCAGTGCTGGTTGCTACTTCCCAGCGGATTTCAGGTGGTGCAATACCAGCTAAACAGTGTAATTTCTCCAGTGGTGTGGGGGGTAGACATCCTGTGATAATGCGGCATGTCTCATTAAGAGCCACATCCACTGTTTTAATGTGGTAAGATGTTTTCCGCACTGGCATGCATATTCATCAGCAGAGTAGCAAAGCGCAAGGGCAGATGTCTTCACTCTGTCTGGTTGTGATCCACAGGTTGTGTCAGTCAGCTTTCATATGATATTATTTCTCTCACCCATTTTTTATAGCCAATCAGTGCTTCTTGTAAGTTAGAGCACAGTCCAGAGTGACTCCCAGGTATTTTGGTGTGCTGCAATGTTCCAGTGGGATTCCTTCCCAGGTAATCCTCAGGGCTCGAGATGCTTGTCTGTTCTTAAGGTGAAAAGCACATGCCTGCATTTTAGATGGATAAGGAATCAGCTGGTTTTCCCAATAATAGGCAGTAAGAGCACTTAAAGCAGTGTTTTTCAACCTGGGGGTTGCCAAAGACTATCAGAAAACAGTCCAGTACTGTTCCAGTAGTGCAGCGTTTCTCAACCTGAAGGTCAGGACCCCTGGGGGGGGTGTGAGGAGGTTTCAGAGGGGTTGCAAAACACCATCAGAAAACATATATTTCTTTTTTTTTTAAATAGCTTTTTATTGAATTATATCATAGGTAAGTAAAGAATGGAACATCGAAAGTGAGAACAATTTTTGGATAGAAAAGCTTGGAAAAAGAGAGAAATTGGTAAAGAGAATGATTAAAGAAGGAAAAAAAGAAAAGAAAGTAAGAAAAAAAAGGTTACATAAATGGTTTGACTTCTTTCTATTCTTCGGTGGTTGTAGAATCGTAATAGTTAGCCTTCCGAATGGGCAAAATGCAAAATCAGTCTAAGCATCCCTGTAATTTTTAATCTTCTTGTGAGTATTTGTTTAGTCATATTATTGTCAATATTTAATTGCTTAAAGTAGTTTTTAACCAGGTCCCAGTTTATTTGTTTGTTTGGAAGTCCTTGGTTGGGAGTAATCCAGTAAGTAAACTTGTCCATGTTCATTACCTCCAAAACTTTCTTCAACCAGTCCTCTTTTTTTAGGAAGAAAACATATATTTCTGATGGTCTTAGGAACTCCTTTGGCAGAGAAGGCTGAAGATCTCTCCGCCTGTCCTTCTCTTCCTTTCTAGAAAAAGCAGGGGAATCCTCCCACCAAAAGCCCCCTCCTGCTGTGATTGACTGGCCTCTCAGCCAAGGGGAGGGCTGTTTCTGAGACTCCAAGCAGGGGAGGGGAGAGCAGGCATTCTCAGCGCATGGCAGCGTGGTGTGCATGTGTGGATGAGGGAGAGCGTTTGCGGCTGGAGGGAGGCTTGCACAAGCAAGTCCCTTCAAGGCATGAGAGTTCTGTGGGGGAAGTTTGTCCCAATTCTATTGTTGCTGGGGTTCAGAATGCTCTTTGATTGTAGGAGAACTATAAAACCCAGCAACTACAACTCCCAAATGTCTCTTTTCCCCATCTCCACTAGTGTTCACATTTTGGCATATTGAGTATTTGTGCCAAGTTCCAGGTCTAGCATTGTTTGAGTCCACAGTGCTCTCTGGATGTAGGTGAACTACAGTTCCAAAACTCAAGGTCAGTGCCCACCAAACCCTTCCAATATTTTCTGTTGGTCATGGGAGGTCTGTGTGCCAAGATTGGTTTAATTCCATTGTTGGTGGAGTTCAGAATGCTCTTTGATTGTAGGTTAATTATAAATCCCAGCAATTGCAACTCCCAACTGACAAAATCAAATCCCACCAGTTTTCAAATTTGGGCATACTGGGTATTTGTGTCAAACTTGGTTCAGTGAATGAAAATACATCCTGCATAACAGATATTTACATTACAATTCATAACAGTAGCAAAAGTAGTTATGAAGTCGCAACGAAAATAATTTTATGGTTGGGGGGTCACCACAAGATGAACTGTATTAAGGAGTTGCATCTTAATTAACCTCTTGAGTGGTCGATATTTTCAAAAAGAGAAGTAGTGAATCTCAGTTTAGTCATAGGACATGTATATTTTGTTGTGATAAATCTTTTAGGAAAGTCGAGAAACACTTGAGTGGGCAAAGAGTATGCATCCCATCTGAATTCCTGTGGCTGCCTCCCTTAGAATTCTGTTATGAAGTAGCAACAAAAATAATGTTATGGTTGGGGGTCACCACAACATGAGGAACTGTTTAAGGCAGGGGTCCTCAAACTATGGCCCAAGGGCCGGATACAGCCCTCCAAGGTCATTTACCCGGCCCTTGCTAAGGTTCAGCCTAAGTCTGAAATGACTTGAAAGCACACAATCCTATCTCACCAGCCAAAAGCAGGCCCACACTTCCCACTGAAATACTAATAAGCTTATATTTGTTAAAATTGTTCTTCATTTTAATTACTGTATTGTTTTAAAGTGTTTTTGCACTACAAATAAGATATGTGCCGTGTGCATAGGAATTCATTCATTTTTTTTTTCAAATTATAATCCGGCCCTCTAACAGTTTGCGGGACTGTGACCTGGCCCTGTTTAAAAAGTTTGAGGACCCCTGGTTTAAGGGGTCGTGGCTTTAGGAAGATTGAGAAACACTGACCTACAACTTCAGAGAGCTTCTGATTGACCATTAGCCTAAAGTTAATTTTATACATGTTTTAAAAAATAATTTTGTGCATGAAACAATTTTTGTGTTCACTGAACCATCAGAAAGCAGAAGTGGCAGCCATCCATATAGACAGAGTGTGGTTAAAGGCTGCTCAACTTGTTAGGTTAGGTTAGCTTTGGTTATGTTAGCTTTGGTTAGGTTAGTTTTGTTTTGGTTAGCTTTGGTTATGTTAGGTTACCTTAGCATAGGTTGTTAGGTTAACTTTGGTTAGCTTAGCTTAGCTTAGGTCAGGCTAGGTTTGGTTGGGTTAGCTTTGGTTAGGTTTGTGTTCACTGAACCATAAGAAAGCAGAAGTGTCAGCCATCCATGTAGATGGAGTACGGATAAAGGCTACTCAACTTGTTAGGTTAGGTTAGCTTTGGTTGGGTTAGCTTTGTTTTGGTTAGCTTTGGTTACGTTAGGTTATCTTAGCATAGGTTGTTAGGTTAACTTTGGTTAGCATAGCTTAGCTTAGGTCAGGTCAGGTCAGGTTAGCTTTGCTTAGGTTTGTGTTCACTGAACCATAAGAAAGCAGAAGTGTCAGCCATCCATGTAGATGGAGTACGGATAAAGGCTGCTCAACTTGTTAGGTTAGCTTTGGTTAGGTTAGTGTAGCTTTAGTTAGGTTAGCTTTATTTTGGTTAGCTTTGGTTATGTTAGGTTACGTTAGCTTAGGTTGTTAGGTTAACTTTGGTTAGCTTAGCTTTGGTTAGGTCAGGTTAGGTTAGCTTTGTGTTCACTGAACCATAAGAAAACAGAAGTGTCAGTCATCCATGTAGACGGAGTATGGATAAAGGCTGCTCAACTTGTTAGGTTAGCTTTGGTTAGGTTAGCTTAGCTTTGGTTAGGTTTGTATTCACTGAACCATAAGAAAGCAGAAGTGCCAACCATCCATGTAGACGGAGTACAGATAAAGGCTGCTCAACTTGTATCTGGGTTGATTTCCCCCTCAGAAGTGCTGTTTTACGGCGCATTAGGCGAAGTGGATAATACCCACGGGAGTTTTTCACATAACACGTGTGCGTTTTGTCTCTTCCATAACGCGCTTTTGTTTTGTTATTGTCCTTTGTGGATAGAGATTAATTACGCTTAAAAGCCCTCTTTTAACATCAATGAAAAAGAGTCCTCCCCGGCCGAGCACCCACTCCCGCTTTGGAGCCTTGAGGGAAGCTGTTGTTGTTGTTGTGATTGTTGCCCGGGGCGCCTCCTCCTCTCCCGCCTAGTCGAATTTAAAACTGCGTGACCAGAGCTCGCGCAAGGTACGGATTGATTGTGACGCGGCCCAGTGCGCGCGCGCACACACACACAAGGCGAGCGGCTCTCCTCTCGGCGACGCAACCAATCCCAAGGCCGCTTCTCGCGCGCGGCAGCCAATCGCGGCGCACGTTATTGGCGGGCAGGCGAAGCCGTCCGTTGTGTGTTCTGTGTGAGCGTTAGGCGAGGGGGGCCGACCCTTCGCGAAGGTTTCCTTTCTCTCCTTCCGCCCCTCCTCTCTTCCTGTCTCTCCCTCCCTCCCTCCCTGGGTGCACTCTTTGTTGGCGGGCCCTTCTCCCTCCTCTCTTCTCTCTCCGAGCCTGACGATGCCCGAGTTCCTGAGCGACCCGTCGGTGCTCACCAAGGAGAAGCTCAAGAGCGAGCTGATCGCCAACAACGTGAGCCTCCCCGGCGGAGAGCAGCGCAAGGACGTCTATGTGCAGCTCTACCTCCAGCACCTCACCGCCCGCAACGCCCCGGGGCCCCCCGCTCAGCCAGACTTCTCCAGCGACGAGGAGCGGGAGCGCGCCCCGGCCGCCAGGAACAGAGGAGGAGGCGGCGGAGGAGGAGGGGGCGCGGCTGCAGCCTCCGCAGGCCGGGTAAGAAGCGCCCCCCCACCTCCCGCTGTCCCCGGAGTCCCCCTTCCTTCCCCAAGCGCTGAGGGGGCGGCGGAGTTTTCCCGCTTTTCTCACAGAGGGGGCGGCGCCATGTTTGGTCACTTGAGGGGAAGGCGACGGTGAGGGAGGAGGAGGGAAGAGGAAGGGCCTCCCTCACTCTCACTCGGGAGGCACCGTTTAATGCCTTTCAAACTCCCACAAAAGCGCGCGGAAGAAAAGCCCTTCGTGCGCCTCTGGGGTTTGGGATATCGCAGGCAGGGGCCAACTTGGGGTGTTTTGGACTCCAGCTCCCACAATTCCTAACAGCCTCAGGCCCCTTCCTTTCCCCCCTCAGCCGCTTTGGAATGTTGAGGCTGGCCAATCAGAAGCCACGCGCAAATTAGTAGGTCGAGATAGCTCATGCGTGGGCCAACTTGGGCCCTCCCTCCAGATGTTTTGGACTTCCACTCCCATCATTCCTAACAGCCTCAGGCCCCTTCTTTTTCCCCCTCAGCCGCTTAAGCGGGGAGTGGAAGTCCAAAACACGAAGGGAGGGCCCAAGTTTGCCATGCCTGATCTACATCAGGGCCTCAAGTTGGTCCCAGGGTTTCCACCTGTGCACACAGAAGCCACTTTCATCAATAAGTGTTTGAAGCAGCATTAAACGGTCAATGAAGATGGTGGGTCCTCCACTCGCTGCCTGCCTCCTCCTCCTCTTACAGGCGTGTCCACAAGTCCCGCTCAGAGACGTTGAACTTGGTGGGCGTCCTGCCAGCCAGCGTCAGGCAGTTTCACTTCTGCAAATCTGCAGGAAGGCGTGCTGCCCTTGGCCTTCTGCCCGAGAGATAGGCTCGCCAGCCTCAGGAGACCTCCCTAGCAAATCTACTTCCAACTCCCACAATTCCAGCCAAAGTTTGGCCATGCCTGATCCACACTATAGAGCAGGCATGGTCAAACTTCAATCCTCCAGGTGTTTTGCACTGAAACCCCCACAAATTCCTAAAAGCCTACCTACTGGCTGTTAAGAATTTGTGGGAGTTGAAGTCCAAAACACCCGGAGCACCAAAGTTTGCCCATGCCTGCTTTAGAGTGGCTCAGTGTTATGAAAACAGTAAGTTTGTGGTCTTCTCAGGCCAAGAATGTAGGCACCTCACCAAATGGCAACTCCCAGGATTCCATAGCAGTTAAAGTGGTCTCAAATTGCATTTTTTCTGCAGTGTGATGCACTCCCTATTTGTCAGGAGTGGGGATTGCTTCCAAGTACCCTGTTATTGTACTGTGAGTAATTCTGGAGGCCAGACTTTGTCTCCTCTGCTTTATAAACCCACCAGGTGACCTTAAGCGAATCACACACTCTCAGCCCTAGGAAATCCTTTGGCCCTCCGCCTGGGAGACAGGCTCGCCTTGGATCCTTGCGCTGCTGGGGAAAGCCTGTCAGGAGGCGGCTCGCGTTGCGGATCTGAAACACCAAGTGCATCAACACCAGGCATGGGCACACTTTAACCCTCCAGGTGTTTTGGACTTCCAACTCCCACAATTCCAGCCAAAGTTTGCCCATGCCTGATCAGTACTAGGGCATGCTTGCTGTAGAGTGGCTCAATGTTATGAAATAATGGAGATTGTAGTTTTACAATAGCTTTATCTTTCTCAGCCCAAGAGTGGGGACCTCACCAAACGGCAACTCCCAGGATTCCATAGCAGTTAAAGTGGTTTCAATTTTTTCTGCAGTGTGATGCATTCCCTGTTAGGCAGGAGTGGAGATTGCTTCCAATACCTTGCTGTAGTGCTGTGAGCAACTCTGGAAGCCAGTTTCGACTGCCTGCGCCTTTTTAGAAATCCACCGAGTGACCTTGAGCAAGTCACACACTCACAGCCCTAGGAATAATTGGGAAGTGATTGAGGATGCACAACAACATACCTACTTCTTTCAAGCTCCTCTTTTGCTGTTCTCTCTATGGGTGCATAAATGGCATCCTGTCTCTATATAACTCCTTTAAAGCACGCTTAAATTATGTTTCAATCCATCTGAAGGAGCCCCCAGTGGTTTTGGCCTTCAACTCCCAGAAACCACAGCTGGTTTACCAGCTGTTAGGATTTCTGGGAGTTGGAGGCCAAAACATCTGGGGACCCACAGGTTGAGAACCACTGGGTTAAAACCTTGTGCTGACAGGACTGTTGACCAATAGGTCAGCAGTTCGAATCCAGAGAGAGCAGGTTGAGCTCCCTTTGTCAGCTCCAGCTCCCCATGCTGAGTGATGCCTCCCGCAAGGATGGTAAAACACCAAATATTCAGGCGTCCCCTGGGCAACGTCCTTGCAGATGGCCAATTCTCTCACACCAGAAGCGTCTTGCTGTTTCTCAAGTCGTTCCTGACATGAAAAAAATCAATTTGAAATACTTCTAAATTTAAAAGGCACAATATGGTTTTCAGTTTTCTTTGGTATACTATTTTTATTGTTTCTGCAAGGTACATTATTTTGATTTACTTTGAGTAAATGAAATGGAAGGAAGGTACTTGTTTTTCTTGCTAAACAGTAACACTTTCCTTTCTTGTGTATCATATTGAATCATAATTTACTTAGTTACAAAGTACTTGGTTGCAAGCATTGTCCCTCCCAGAATAAGCTATCTGTATGTCTTTTCAGGATTTGAAAGTTGTCAAACCCGCTTGTTTTACGTGTCAAAAGTTCAGTTTCATTGCATGTTTAGTTTTGGAAAACTGAACAGTGTAGTGTTTAAATATAAGAATATTAGTTGATTTCTTGGGCTCATCAAAGGTGGCCAGAAGATTGAGTTCATATTTGTTTGAAGAACTGTGCTGAAAAGTTATGGTTTAGCTACTTAGTGAAACCTATGATGAAAGCATTTGATCAAACAGAAATGTTACAGAGGAACAACCCACAAATATATCTGTTATTACGTATCTAGGGCAGGATTCCAAAGTTCTCTTTTTTAGTTACTTCCATTAGCTGCTTCCCCCCCCCCCAAAAAAAACCCCCTCACATTAAAATCCTGGCAACATGTCAGTTTAGACGAAGCATTTGCCAAGAGAATTCCTGGTGTCTGAGACTTGATCAATTTTCTAGAAGTGTTCAAGGAGATCGCCAGTAGCTTCTTTCAGAAATAAAAGGAAGAGTTTAGCAGCGCCTTTGAGACTAACATATTTCAGCATGAGTTTTCATAAGATTTCAGCCCACTTCAGATGCACAAAATCAGTACAAAATTACTGTAATGTCACAGGTATTGAAGCAGATACGTAACGATGCAAGTAGTGGCATAGGCAACACTCCATTATAAAGAAGCATCCTAGGCTTTGGTAGTCAGGATTTATGTTTTGTAGAAATAGCACTTTGATATATCTTGAGATGTGAAAGTTGCAGTCCTGTGTGGTTACATGGGAATAATTCCTACGATACTTAAATTATTTCTCAATATTTGTTATATAATAATTTATCCTCTGATTATCCAGTGGCTACTATATGATATACAGCAAAAGTGGTAAAATGTCATTGAAGGCAGTCAAAGTAATTATAATAAATAGGCGTGTTTTGGATGTACTCCACAGAAACTTTGCTTTATACTTGTGGTATCTGAAGATAGGCTGTCTGCATTATTGCTTATAATGAAACTTGATAACTTGAATAAAATGTGAAATACATTACCTGTATAATGTTTAGATAAGATAACGGTCTGTGTTTTCTGTATGGACTTGTATAGCGGGGAAACAAAAATTCCAAAAACCACTTATTTTAGGGTGTGATAAAGAGTGACATTCTCCTCTGAGTTTCAAATCTGCTTAAATTAATTGCAGCTGGCCCTCTGTATCAACAGATTTAATAATCCATCACTCAAAAATGTTGTTTTAAAACAATCTAAAAGGCAAACCATGATTTTGCTGTGTTATATAAGGGACACAATTTTCCTTATACCATTGTATATAATAGGATTTCAGCATCCACATATTTTGGCATTCATTTTGGGTGGAGTCCTAAAACCAAATTCCGTAGATTAGGGGTTGGCTCTATGTCTATTTTCTTTACAGAACTGTTTTTTCATTCTTTTTTTTAAACGAAAAAGTGCATTTTTAAAAACTGAAACATTATTGAGGCACAACATAGAAGCGAAAAAATTATGCATTATCTTTCTTCCAGTCCTCCTACTGGTTCATACCTTTAGTCTGTATGAAGGTATTTAATGCAGCCACACATGTAGAGTTATTACAGAAAAAAGTTTCTGGGCTTTATAGATAGAATGATACCATTAATGTTGTAGTCATTTCATCTGCTGTTTTGACAAGGTAACATCAGATAATTTGAGAGTCAGAGCAACAGGAATAGGCAGAGCTAGTTATCTGGACTGTCTCAGATTATTTTTGAAAGTGCATATTTGCTGCTGTGTAGATACATTGAGAATTCTTTCCCTGCCCTTGTTTGGGAGTGCAGTTGAGAAACAGCACTGCCCCCACCCAGAAAACAACAAAGCATTTTCTGAAATGCAGTTCTCTGGTTTGCAGGCGGATGGAGCTCTTTTTTCTGGTCTCAATTGGAGGAATGTGGTGTGTATGTGTGTGAGAGAGGAAACATTCTCCCCCCCCCCCCCCCAGTTAACATCCAACTTACAGGGCACATAATTAAGGGGGGGGGGGGTAAGACAACAGAAAGTGAGAAAAATCTACCCATAAAGAAATTCACTCCTGGAAGTGTTATGGGGAAAAGGTGTCTCCACCGAAGCTTAATCACCAATCCTTGTTTCCACAACAAGCCACATTTTCCAAATTCAGTTATCACGGGGACAGAAAGTGAGGTGAAATCTTCTGAACAGGGGCACAGACAGCAAAACAAACACCAGGGGTGCTAACCCATCCCTATGCTATCCAAAGCGTGTGTGTGTGTGAGAGAGAGCCAGACAGACAGACAGACTGGAGTTATACTGTAAAATGTTCTGATTTACATACAAATTCAACTTAAGAGCAAACTTACATAACCTGTATTGTTGGATACTTGAGGATTGCTTGTATACAGGATAGAACGGATGTTCCTAAACATTTTGCGTTTTGTCTCACACAAAACAATGGTTTTATTTATTTACTAAATAAATGTCCAGATAATTTTTGAAAAAAAAAACCCCAAAAGGTAAAAGGTTGAGGCTCAAAGTTTTCTAGTTAGTAGTGCAAATATTATAATGGAGGGAATGACTCCTTTGTCTTTCCTTTTTTTACTTGAGTCTTAATTGTACTCAGATTCTTTGTCTCCTGAGCAGCAATGGATACACACTGGAGGACAGTTTTAGAAAATCCGTTTTTTCTTTCTTTTTCTGCTTTGTTTCTTTGCTTCAAGGAAATTTGGTGTTCATCTATATGTATTATCAATGAAATATGATGCTGATGAAAATGTATTTTATAAATTGAATGTGACTTCATAGTTTAACTTCAGGAAAAAAATGGTTTTTGTGTTCTTTTTCCAAATCTTGCTGAGATTGTTTCATTGTTTTAGTGAGCAGATGACCTGGTTGTTGGTTGCCTCGCTAGCTAGTAGGTTGGCAACATGTTGGGGTAGTTTAAAATCAACCTAAGTTTCTAATAATGTAATCTAAGAAGAATAGATTGCAATAGTCTATATCAGGGGTCCTCAAACTAAGGCCTGGGGACCGGATAGAGCCCTCCAAGGTCATTTACCCGGTCCTCGCTCAGGTCAGCCTAAGTCTGAAATGACTTGAAAGCACACGATAACAAAAACAACAACAATCCTATCTCATCAGCCAAAAGCAGGCCCACACTTCCCATTGAAATACTAATAAGTTTATATTCATTAAAATTGTTTATCATTTTAATTATTGTATTGTTTTTAAGTTGTTGGGTTTTTTTGCACTACAAATAAGATATGTGCAGTGTGCATAGGATTTGATGTTTTTTTCACATTATAATCCCGCACTCCAACAGTTTGAGGGACTGCGACCTGGCCCTCTGTTTAAAAAGTGTGAGGACCCCTGGTCTATATGTTAGGGTTTCTAGGTTACACTTCAAAATAAGATGAACTCTTGGGCAAATAAGGTGTCATTGTGGTTGCACCATATGCCCTATTCTTTCTCCAAAGGCCTTGAAAGCATTCCCATCCAACATTTCTGTATTATCAATTCATTGAGGCTTCAAGAAAGAGCCTGCCCCCTTTCTTCAAGAAATGCACTGCTCTACTATAGGAAAAGCTCTGGTCTGCTGTCTTTGTTGCCCCCTTCTGGCTCATGCATGCAAGCATTCTAGCTTGTTTCCTAAGGGCACTGCTTAGTTTTGCATTTTTTAAATTCTATGCTGCAATAGCTAATTTAAATACAAATGCAAGGTTTACCACAAATGCAAGGGGTTAACAATACAATTCATAAGTAAAATTATGCTCAACAGTTCTGACCATAGTGTAAAAATGGCAAATAGGGTGTCACAAGGTTCTTTCACAGACCCAGTGTTTGACATCTTTGTAAATGGGTTTGCATCAAATTTGCAAATAGGTAAGATTTCAGAAGACAAAATTGGGATTCAGAATGACCTTATCAGGTTAGATAAATGGGCAAAAAGAGACAAAATATTTTAACAGGGGTAAACGTAAAGTTCTGTAACTTGAAAGAAATAATCAAATGTGACTTGTCATTACCACCACTTGGCTGAATACTGTTGTGTTTCTAGCTACAATTTACATTGCAGTTTATGACTTAAATCCATATACCTTTTGGAAGCACACTGGTTGCTTTCTTGCATTTTCACTCATGAGTGTGTCATGATTCTTGATCACTGCCCACCCATAAATGGAATTGTTGCAGGGCTTGTGAGTGAGAGCCTTCTCAAAGACTATAGGCTCGAAATGCAAACTTGTTTGAATTGATTGGATGTTATCAATTCCTTTTATTATTGTTTTTGAATGAATAAGTTTTGTGTTACATACTTGGTTTTTAAACTATTTTATTGTCGATGACCACCTTGATAACAATTTTTGTCATAAAGTTAAGCAATACATTTGGTTTGCTGATGATTTAGTAGACATCAGAGAACAATTTCAAACCCACTTAATTGCTTCTGCATTTTTACATTCCCTAGTTCACTTGAAACTGGCTTCTCCCACAGGAATACCTTCTCCATGATGAGATAGAGAACTGGGGTGCCAAATAATTAAGCCCCTTTCCTCAACTTTTCACAGTGTATTGGTCCCGCCTATGGACACAGGAGTAATCTTCCCATAGACATGTGTTTTGATGAGACAGAAATGCAAGAAAGCAACCAGAAATAGGAATATAATTAACATTTTAATAGTACAGAACTATTTTAAATCATACAGGATGGAAAAAGTATTTTGCCTAGTTATTGTACTAGTGATACTCATGCTGGACTACTTTAATGCAATTTTCATGGCTGTTTTAAAACAAATTTTAAATGCAGAAAAGAATGCAACTACTTTTACTATTGATATGGGGCAATACATTCAGAATGTATGAGTTCTATTGCATCAACTGGTCTAAGTGATTGCTACTTTTTGGAGGCCATTTTGGAGTATGAGTTTCAGTGTTTTAACTTTGAACAGATTTTTGCCATGTTAAACTTGTACAAGTTCTTCACCTGTACCTGCTTGTCTACAGTACATATACACCAGTTGAGACTCTTCTTTAGCCACCTTCAGTGCTGAATTAGCTGGATAATCCATATGAGAGAGCATTTCTATATTGGTCATAGGTCTCAGCAGTGAGTGCCTAAAGAAGCCCACCTGTCTTTGGGGTTTTTTTTTTGCTGCAAATGAATCTTACATTTTACGGTCAGACTGTGTGTTTGGTATATTCTTTTTTATTTGGGGGAGTGGAGGTATACTGCTAGTAATGGTTTAAGAAAGATGTCAGAGATGGATTTTGCAGAAGGAGCTGATGAGAGAGAGAGAAAGATATGAAAGAAAGGTGAAGAGAGACTTCAGAATTTGTGTAGGGATAAAAGTGCAGGAACGCTCCTTGTTCCTCATTTTGTTTCAATAGCCCAGTTAAAGGAATACATTAGGTACATTTTTTTAAAAAACCCATTGCATTTGTTCCCCAATTTTCTCCCAAGATGGGTTCCAAGGTCATTTGCAATAACAGTAAAAAGATTTAGCTACCTTAATTTAAATAGCTTAGTAATAACAATATATTTAAAAAAAATATTAACAGTTAAAACCTTTCAAATATAATTATTGGCTAAAGAATAAAATACAACATGACACTTTTTGCACACACTCTACAGCTCCATAATTAAAATCTAAAGGCCTACCAGAAAAAGCCTATCTTCATCTGCCAGCAGAAAGGGGTGGGTGGATACTGGATTTTCTACAGAATTGAGATTATTGAGAGTAGCCATTGAGTTGCTAATATGAAGGTGGTGGTTTTTATTTACTGATATATTCATATTTTTAACAACTTAATTCCACAGTACTAGTAAATCTTTGCTTCTCTTACCCTTCACAGAAAGTAACAAAGAAGACAGACAAACCAAGAACAGAAGAACAGGATGATATAGATGTAACAGAACTCAGCAATGAAGAACTCAAAAATCAGCTTCTGAAACATGGTTTAAATCCAGGTCCAATTGTTGGTAGGTTGATATTCTGAAACGTCACATAACCGAGTACTAAGAATGGGATTAAGATATTTCTATTTTAGTCTTTTTAGTAAGATATGTGTATACTTTAAACATTTGCTATTCTGATGGTTATATAAAATGTTTTACATAGTGTACTTTAAGCTTGAATATATTTACTTCCATGCAATGAATCACACTGACCCCTGTATTAGCACTACATTGTGCATTATTAACTTTACTGCTGGCAGGATTCATAAGTGCATACTGACTTTTATGGACAGATACCATTCACTTAAAATTATACAGTGCAAAAAATTATCTCCAGTTAGTAGGGTACAGAAAAATGCTGATTTTTCAAATTCATCAAGGTATATAAAAGATTTTCCATATGGCTCATAATGAGAAATGAACTTAAGTGCCTGACATTAATGATGGTATGAAATTGGTGATTATAAAAATGCTACTTGGGTGTACTTTCTTGGATGTATGCTTTGAGTTTCTTAAAATAAAAAGCAAATATATAAAATATAATAATTACAACAACAATAATAACACACATTGATGCAGTGTACTCCTGGGCTGCTAAAGTAACATGTGACACGATTTAAGAAAATGGAGTAAAATGGTCTCTGCTGCCCTTTAGTATCACCACCGACCACCTTTTTTATACATTACATATATGAACAAATACATATTTACATCTGTTTTAAGTGTGCTCTACTTATATTATTTGAATATTTTCTCCCTTTTTAAATTAGCTTTTACTTTGGTTGCTCTCTTAAAGTTTCCTACACTTGTGGTATTGATCAGTCTTAAAGGCTCTCCAACTTTTATAGGAAATACTTGAGAATTTTTTCACTAATTACTTTCAGCCAGAAGTGTTGCCTTCTAAGATCAACTATTTCTTTACTTGAAAACTTCTGAAGCAGATAAGCCTCGAAATGAAGCTTAGATATCATATATAGTTTACACCAGTTAGCTAATCTTGGTAATCAGCTAAATAAAACAATACTGTGGAATTCCTTACTTTACCTAATAGAATTTGAACTTCTTGTCTATCGTAATATATTGTGTTCATGTTATCCTGCAGCCACTACAAGGAAGCTCTATGAGAAAAAGCTACTGAAGTTAAAAGAATCAGGACAAGACATAAGTTCTTTTGTACCCACTCCAGCAGTTTCTTCCTCTGCAGAAAACAGCAAGCAGAATGGAAATGATGACTCTGATCAATACAGTGACAGTGAAGAAGGTACAAACAAAACACAAGAGGGGTTAAATGTTTTGACAGCTAGGGAGCTGTTAAGATATCACTTTGACTTTGCATCTACTCATACTAAGATTGGTAATTGTAGGTTTGTGTACTTCCCCCTTTGCTTAACTTGTTTGTCATATCTCTTACTTTAAAACCTAATGAGATAAAAATAGAAATAAATAAATGCCCTTACCCTTTTTGGGAAGACTCAAAAGAAACCCAAGAGCCCCCCCCCCCCCCCCCCCCCCCCCCCCAATGACATCAACAACCCTAAGGTAACACTTAGGTCAGAAGGAATGGCAGCATAGATGGACCAGAGAGTGTACAACTTGAGACTGATACATTTATATCATTGTGGTTTTTTCCCCCTGCATAGTAGAAATATGCTTAAATAAATAATGTATGAACTTACTTACAGATCCTAAAACAGAGTTCAAACTTGAGAAAAGAGAACCACTGAAGGGTAAAGTAAAGGCTTCCGTAACACTCAGACAGAGAAGAACTGCTGAACATAACCAGGTACATTAAAATGGGTTTTGGTTTTTTTTTCAAAAACAGAAAGTGGTATATATTATGAAATATGTCCTTCTTGAAATATTGGTGTACGTTTATTAGAAGATGCTGGGTTCATCTTCAGCTACTAAATTATTTTTGTAATTCTGCATATTCAGCACTGCATAGAAAAAGGAAAAAGTATCATTTCCAGATTGTTTAGCAGTATCTTAACTATTTTAGTTAAAAAAAACACAATGGCTATTGATTGTTACCATATTAGATATTGAAAAGAGGGAATTCAAAGTAATTGTGATTATGTTAAAGTAATGGTTTTCAACCTGTTACTTTTGATGACATATTAACCCTTCTCTGTACTGACTTTTCAATGTTGAGTTTAAGCTTTTTTGTTCTTTGCTTTACCAGACTTTCTTCCAAGCAGTGGCAATGTATGAAAACTGGTGGCAGTCAAAACTTGTTCAGAATAAAAACTGTGCCCTCACTATTAATCACCTTTACTTACTTTCAATTCCATCATCATGTTGTGCACGTGTGGCTGTGTAATGTCATTGCTACTAGTGTCAAGGGTTATTTTTAAAGAAAAGTAGTCCTGAATAAAAGGTAACAAGAACAAGCTGGCCGTGCACTAAATGTTTTCAGAGCAAATGTACAAGACTCCAGAAGGGGGGAGTGGGCACCAATATCTCAAAAAAGCAGGACAATTTAATAAGTGGGAAAGTGTATTTATGAAACAAAATTCTCGCTTGTTTTGGTACAATCCTGTGTTCAGCATTGCCACCAGCTTGTACATAGCTAGCAAACTACCATTTTGATTAGGGATGTTGTTTAGCATAGATTATAGGATGTAAGCAGCACTGAATTTAAGGCTATGTCCAAGAGTAAGGAAAGTATACACATGTTTTCCAACCAATATTTCAAAATACTTTTGGTTAACCTTTCAAGAATTTACATTATATGAAGCAAATGAGTAGTATACAATTTAATATTCCTGGAAAGTAATCTTGGAGGCAAAGATGAAGTACTTTGGCCACATCATGAGAAGACAGGAAAGCTTAGAGAAGACAATGATGCTGGGGGAAATGGAAGGAAAAAGATAGACCAAGGGCAAGGTGTATGGATGGTTATCCTTGAAGTGACTGGCTTGACACTGAAGGAGCTGGGGGTGGTGACGGCCGAAAGGGAGCTCTGGCGTAGGCTGGTCCATGAGGTCACAAAGTTGGAAGCGACTGAATGAATAAACAACAACAAACCTTGGAGGCATATATTTACCATACGTATTACTCATTTTGCTAGAACAAATTTGAAAGGTAATTTAAAGATTTGTAGATTAAGCTTTGGGTGTTTTTATTATATTTTATTATTGATTTCCAAAAACGTTAAAAACATTTACCATACAATATATAAAATTAAAGTCACATAATACATTTTAAAATAAATTTAAAACATACAAAAGTTAAAAGATATACAATTTTTTTATCAGAAGCAATGTTACATGTTGTAGCCTTATGAACATCTTGAGGAAATCTTGTTGAGGGGGTTTATTCCTAATTACAAAGTTATAGGACAAACTGCCAATGTGTTAATTTTGTTTTGGGCTGGATCTTTACATATTAAGATTCTTAGGATGAGATCTGCATTAAACCAGAACTATCATTTTTATTAAAGCTGTTGAAATTGATTATCATATATAGAATAATAATTTTCTTATAGTATGGCCTTATAAATAAGCTTTGGAATCAAATGAATAGGTATTTTTAAATATTTGTCTTGCAAATTGTATAAATACCCAGAAAAATATAGATATTAAGAACCAATTGTTTCCATAAAATTGAAGAGGAATATGCATTGCTTATGCTATTTATCTTAAAACTGTTCTGAACTACAAATAATCTACAATTTCTGCATAGCTTTGTTCATTCTGAAATGTATATTTGCTTTCCTTACTATATAGCATCACTGCAAACCTGGGAGTGGAATTATTTCTTCCAATATTTCTATTCAGCTTTCCACCTCTTCTCTGAATTTTCATAGGCTTCAGTATTTTCTTTTACTATCTGATTCCTCTTCCATTTATTATGATTACCATGAAAGTATAATTGTAATCTTAAATATGCCAAATAATAGGTCCAAGTGCATTTGGAGATTTTATGCTGTATGTGACTAATAACTTGCTAATCATGGATTTCAGTGACCAGCTCTTAAGTATGTTTTCACCCCCCAAATTAGACCTCTTTGGTTTTATTGGATTTTGTTTTACATCAGTCTTGGTTTAGTTCATGAACAATTAAAGATAGAACTATATCTGAAATCTTCTCACTTTGTAGACCCTGTCTTCTAACTGGAAAAGTAATTTAGGCCTTGGGAGTGGTGGTGGCAATTTGTACTTGTTGACATCTTTTAATAGTGAGGGAGGGAAAGGAAGTACAGGCAGTCCACAAGTTACCAGCAAGATAGAATCAAAGAGTTGGAAGAGACCAGGCCTGTAGCAGAGGGGGGGGGGGTGTGTTAGGGGTTCAGCCCACCCACCCCAAAATTTTTCAGGTTAAAAAAAAAAACCTGGTTTACTCATGAATTTTAACTGGTTAACCAAATCCCAATGCTAAGTCTATGAGACGCAAAAAATTAAGAGTCCCTCCAGAATTGCAAGCACTATCTCAAACCAAGTTGGGGGGGGGGTGTTGAATGCTCTCATTAAGGAGGCCAGACTTGGTGGAGGTGGTTGACAGGGGCGAAGCTGCAAGCTTTTGAAGGCTGCCCTGCCCCCTGCTGTGCTCTTTGTTTTAACGTGAGCTAGGAGGCAGGTTTCCCCCCCCCCCCCCCGAATTTTTTTTCTGGCTACGGCCCTGGAAGAGACCTCATGGACCATCCAGTTCAACCCCCAGTCAAGAAGCAGGAAAATCACATTCAAAGGACCCCCAACAGATGGCCACTCAGCCTCTGTTTAAAAGCTTCCAGAGAAGGAACCTCTACCACACACTCCAGGGCAGAGAGTTCCACTGCTGAACTCATAGTCAGGAAGATAGGCTCTGTATGTCTGTTCTTAAGTTGAATTTGTATGTAAGTTGGAATAGGTACATTTTTAAGTAGAATTCTAGCCATATACATACATATATACACATACACACATATATACATACACACACACACTCACACACTCACACTCACTAGTGCACTTGGTGTTAGTTTTTCTATCTGTGCCCCTGTTCAAAAGATTTCACCTCACTTTCTGTCCCTGTGATAATTGGATTTTGAAAAATTTGACTTGTGGAAACAAGGATTGGTGATTAAGCTTCAGTGGAGACACCTTTTCCTCATGATAACTCTTCCATGAGCGAATTTACCTTCCTAGTGGTAGATTTCTCTCATTTCCTGTTGTCTCCTGTTTGTAACTATGAGCCATATGTAAGTTGGATGTTTGTAACTCATGGAATGCCTATATATATGTGTGTGTATAGGTATTTGACATTTTTAATATTCCTGAATACTTGTCCATAAAACTAGGTACTTACTCAGAGAAGCATGTCACTAATATCTAGACTATGTTTCAGTTTATAATCATTGTGTGTTTCAATCAACCTTTCTAGAGAAAGAAGTTCTTTAGATGTATGGTCTCAAAATAGTAATTTTTACACTTCATATTTGAAGTTCTATATTGAACACCAAAATGATAATATTTGTTGTTGTAAATTATTTAAGTATAGAATAAAGGAGGTGCCTTTTTCTTGTTTAGCCAGTTCTGATCGAAGCTTTTAAGAAGTGAAGTAGCATAGAAGCCATGCATGTGCTTCCCTGTGATTTGCATGCAAAATATATAGCCTTATGTAGGGGGTCATCTGATGTAGGTTTACAGTGTTTATATATGTGCTAATTTGTTTGATGCTTAAATAGAATTATTCTCAGGATGAAGTCACTGAGACATTCTGGAGAAGTGGATCTTCCAGAAGTGGACTTCTACAGGCATTTTCTAGGGAATCTGCAAAAGTATCAAGACGAACACCACAGAAAAGGGTGATTCAAGGCTAATTTGCAATCTAGATTTTTATTTTCTACATTCCTAGGCCCCTAGTAATAACTGCACACTTACTTTTTATGTTTTTGCTTTTGTTTTTAAACAAACAGGTTGAACCCACAGTACCGTTGCCTGTACATGATGCAGGAATATCAAAGAGTACCCCCATATCTGATACTGTAGTGGCTTCAAGCAACAAGAGCCTAGTAAATGTAATGAATTTGCTAGATCTGGTATTCTATAATCTGCCTCCTCTTGGGGAAAAACCTTCAAACTTTACTTCATAAAATAAAAAAAAAACTGGCTTTCCTCTTCCTCCTCTTTTTCGTAAAGCTGTGCTTGTTGTCCCTTAGTTGGATGAAAGCTAAAAGCATAAGATACAGTATTTACTTAGATAATCTTCTCCTCTCTTAAGATCTTGTATGTGACATAAAATGCTTTTAATGGGTGGCAGTGCCTGTAAAATGTAAACAGTTGTCTTCTACCTATTTATAATGTATCACTTTAGTTTTGAAATCACAGTACAAAATTCAGAGGGTTGGATTCTTGTATATAAAATTCATGACTTTTTGAAGATTTTACTATTTTGTTAATTCTCAGTCTAAATAATTTGAATTTCAGCAGGTTTTCAGTAGATTACCTGGAAATGTCAAGCATGCAGATTCCATACTGTCAGTCACTGACTACTCAGAATTGTCCAGAAGATCATCAAAGAAACCATTGATGACAGCTGAAGTAAATGCATTCACCTTAGATTGTTGGAGAGAAAGGAGGGAGTTTACTTTTCATAAAAATAAATTTATATCTTACATAGCTTTCAACTTGGATGTGACATGCTAACACATTTCTGATATAATTGTTTCCTAACTCCAGATCACAATCTGTTTCTTGGTTTCTTTTGCATGTACTGAACAAAATGATTTGGGAATAACTGAAGTGCTTAATAATTTAATATCTAACTCTTACTACATCAGATGTAGAATTTAGTGTGTTAGTTGAGGAGTAGTTGTGTCCTGTATCTTTTATAAAGCTTTTCTACTACTGTGTGACAGTTGTTACCTGGATAACAAATGGAAGAATTTAAAAACTCATAGCAGATGTGAACATGTTACAGTGACAGCATTAAACTGTCCACTCATAGGAAAATCAATATAAAATTAAGTAGTGTGTGTTTCATATTTAATATTCATTTGTTCAATTCAGATAGTGCTTTTTTAAAAAAATCATGTATTCAGGATGTTTATTATATAACATTTTACTTCATGCTGAAGGAACAAGCATGAATGACCAATCATTCATTAAACGAACAAGCAGATCAGTATAACCAAACTTTTAACCAACAGCTTCTTAAATTTCACTGATGTGCCAGCTCCTTCTGCAAATCACACATGGGCATGATTGTGCTTTCTCTTTCTCTCTTTCTTTCTCTCTAGTGCAGCTTTGTATTGTAGTTTATAAATATATCATTCTTATACTATCTGATGTCTGTTAGGTAACAGAGAAAACCTCTACAGAAGAAAAAAGATTAGAAAGAGATATTCTTAAAGAAATGTTTCCCTATGAAGTATCCACACCTACAGGAATCAGGTAATTATATTTGGAATATGCAGTAATTTAGTCTGATCGGTCTCTTAGATTAGTCACATCTCTTTTTTGCACTTGCCACATTTGTGATTTTCATCCTGAAAAACAGCATTATGGGGCTGTTAAGGAATTTTATTGAGGCAAATATACATCTCCCATTTATTCATACCCTTCCTTAGAAAGCATGGTTTTCTAAATTTCTAGACTTTTAAAAAAAATCTGTTGCTATTAATATTATTAAAGTAGATATTTTTACATGTACATCACATAAGGTCATCATGGATAAGTGCAAGAAGTACAATAGTTACTTGCCATATTATTGTCATGAAGCAAATGGACAGCCAACATACCATGAACTCAATAGTACATACTGCATTGGTATGAAAGGCTGATAGTTTATAACTGATACATTCTGATGGCAGGAACCAGGAAATAGTGGCCTTGCAAGTGATTGGTCATTAAGTGAGGGCCAGTAAATTCTCGCCTATTTTATTGTATAGAGGCCGAAAATATTAAAAGGCTTTGGTTTCAGCAAAGTACCATATTTTGTTTTTACCAGTGCAGGTCTTCATCTTGGTTGTTTCTGTATGAGATAACAACTGTTATTGGTAAATAATCTTCAGTTTTTAACTATTTACCTAAGCAAAAGCTGATGGAGGTAAATGAACATGAGTTAATCTCTATGCTATCAGTCCAAAAGCTTTGAAAACCTAAAAAGATGAAGATCATGGTATTGTAATGCATGTATAAAGTTTCTGAGATTGCATAAGGTCTTGGTAAGATGTTCCCTTTAGATTAGAACAATGTGTATATCTATATTGAACTTGTTCAAAGAAAATGAGTATTAGTTACAAGTTTGGAACTTACTCTCCTGCAATAATTTCCAGGTAAAGTATATGAAAGTTACATTAGCCTTAAGTAAATATTATTTTTAAATTAACAGTGCTAGCTGTCGCAGACCAATCAAAGGAGCTGCTGGTCGACCTGTAGATCATGGTGATTTCCATCTGGATGAAACCTATTCATCAAAATACATCAGCAAATACGCTACCTCAGGTTTATCAAATGTCAAAACAGAGAAACCAACAGTTAAAAAACGCTCCATTCCTTTGTGGATAAAATTCCTGCTCTTCATTGTTGTTGCAGTCTTCTTGTTTTTGGTCTATCAGTCTATGGAAACCAACCAAGGAAATCCATTTTCCCAGTTAATTGGTAGCACTCCTGATCAAACGATAGATTGAGTAATTTTTCTTTTTTGATATGGCATCCACAATGTGGTTTCCTGTTTTTAACTGTAGAGATGTCTTCATTTTTCAGCTGTTCAGAGACTGCATACAGAGAAAATGAAAAGTGAAATAAACAAGACAATAAATGAGATGACTAACTTTTTTCAGAATTAGGAGATCACTTTCTGCCATAAGTAATATTTTTAGACGGCTTTGGAACTTACTGTAGGATTTATTTTTTTAATGTGGACATCATTACATTCATTTGAGATTGTATATTTGTTTTTGCAGCCTGGAAGCTCTCAAAAGGGGCAAAGTGATAGTAAAATGTGAAGATGTGTTTAAATGTTTTTACTTCATACTGAAAAAATGGTGTACTGAACTATTCTCTAACTTTGCCTGTTTCTAGGGGTGGGAAGAAGTAAGATAATAAAGGGAAATGCACTTGTGTGCATTTTACTTATACTGTGCAGCTACATTTAGTGTATTGTAGTTTTAATGAGAAATCCATCATTTTTTCTATAGGATGGTGTACCATCTTAATAAAGTGTAACCTATTGTATACCTTTCTGTATCTGTCTTAGTTTTACTGTAGTAACTTCATTTAAGCTTATCCTCTTTTAAAATCATAGTTACCTATTTTAGTGCTTAATCCTATAATTCCTAAACTGGCAATAGTTGTCCTTAGCAAGGCTATTTATTAATAAAATTGTGTGGAATAAAACTTACATAAATCAAGTTCAAATACTTTTTTTACTGAACAATTAAAATGATAAAAATCATAATTAATAGCAAACTTACATTTTTAATCTAACTATGAAAAGGTTATGTTCTCACTCAAATCCTGCTATTTTTTCTTAGGTAAATTGAATGTTATATTTAAAATTGGGTTTTTTTTCCTGGTTGCATTTTGTTTAATACTTTGTCAGCGTTCATATTCCAAAACATTTCCTTCTTATGGTATTAAAGGGGCATTTATTGTATTCCATGTGATGAACTAAGGTTAAAAAGTGCTATTTGTGGAGGCAGCCATTTTAGTCTGCTATAATTTGTTCTCGGTTACATTTTCAAATCAATTCATTTTTTACTAAATGTGGATTATTACAACTATTAAATGAATGTATCAGTTTGCAGCACATGTGGGATCTTGATATTACTGCATATTCTATACAAAATTGCAATAAACTTATTTTTAACCTTAAGTTCTAGTGTCATCAAAAGTTGGTATCAATACAGATAAATACTGTTTAATTATTTCTTCTGTCTAAAAATTTTATGTCATCCCATGGAGAACTGGGCTCAATTCGAAACATAGATACTGACAAGCCTAGTAGAATTTGTGGCTCTTACTCCTTAGAAAAGTGTGTAAAGGATTGTGGAATTAAAATTTAAAACAGGGCTCCCAATCAGTTCTTGCCTTCAGATGGTATTGGGTAGCTCCTGTGATCAAGCCACATTAGCTATGTATGCATGTTAAACTTGCTAGCAGTTGAAGGTGCAACAGCATCTGCAGGCCCTGTTAATTTTAAAGCACAGCTCAAAATCATGCAGCTCTCCAGATGTTAGACCACATGTCCCATCAGCCCTGTCGCTTAGAGCTAATGGCTGAATGTCAGGAGGTGCCGTTCAACAAGATTTGGAGAGCTACATCATTTTGGTGCTGTAAAAACTTCATCAACACTTCATTCTATTTATGTTCAATTTGTGAAGCTGCATTTGGGAGCAGAATTAAGCTTCTAATATTCAGTTTACTTAAGTGAGAATTAAGTAATAACTGCACAAGACTGTAAAGTAAATAAATATTTTATATATTTGTATGCTTATTAATGGACTTCCAAGAAATCATGTACATTAATTTGTATTCCCAGCATGTAGTTAATTTATAGTGTATACAAAAACAAGTATTATACAAATCTCTGGAGTGCTGCTCTATTCAGCAGCTAGCCATAATTACTTATGCCAAAGAAGCCATTTCTAGAAAAGTGGTATATGAATTAAGGTTATAATTCTATGAGGATGGGATGGCTTTCTTTTATATATTCACATATACCATAAATCCCCCCCCCCCCAAAAAAAAACCCTGGGTTGATTTATACATAGATCTATATAGTACTTTGCTGTGAAAGCAGTCTAGGCACAACTTCCTATAAAAGCACCAATTCCGCCTTGTGTCACCGTGGCATGGAGAGGGCAATGCTTGTGTTACAGGTGGCTATGCCCAGAAAGCTTTTGAACAGTACATATACCCAGGTGAATTAAGAAGACTTTCCAAGCATAGCCCTCCTGTAAAAGAAGCACCAACACATCCTCTGTGCCCTAATTTAGAATGTCCAAGACTCCCACAATGGCATGCCAATACATTGTAATCTCAGCTTATCCACAGGTGACATGAAAGTCCATAATTTTGGACACAATGAAATTTCCAACATACCTTTCTCTTTTGGGAAATTCTTATTGAAGTCTTCCTAGTTTCCCATTTGTTGAAGTTTAAGTATTAAAGTAATAGTTCTGTGCATATTAAGATGTATATATTTTGCTGCGTGAAAAACGTAGCAACCTCTAGTGCAAATGAGTAGCATGTAGACCTCCAGATGCTCTCCTCAACATTAGACATCATAATCAACAGAAATGGAGGGTGGCAGGTTGCCATTTAGCATTTGGGGGACAATATATTCTCCATTATCTGTTCTTGCACCAGCAAACACTTAACATAATATGATGAAAATATATGACACATTTTTATACTACCATGTATAATATGAAATGCTTATTGAATATAGCTGTTTGATGCATTTAAAATACTAATTGCAATTTTAAGCTCAACTTTATGTAAAATAATTCTATATGACCACTAGAAGAGCACTCAGCGAATTAACAAACTGTTTTACTGCAAAGAACGAGCATGGAAATCAGAAGAGGTAGCATATTCTCACACAATTGCTTATGTTCAATTTAGCATGTTTATTGCTGTGAGTGTGATCTATTCCCCTTTTAATATCCATGTGCATGGTACTTCTGGCATGCTTTAAACAGCGAAATGAATAATGTAATACTGTGATGTTATTTCCTTGTCTGTATCAAATGTGAGATTGATATGTTAGTGCCTTAAAGCAAATTTCTGTCCTATAAAGCAAAACTAGCTAGGAAGCATCAGACTGGAAAATAAATGTAAACCCATTAGCTACATTGCTGTCTCAATTTTTATTTCCTTTAATTTCACCCATGTTTCCTCCACACGTTACATTTCTTTGTCAGATCACCAATTTAGTTACAACAGCCACAGTTGTCAATATGAAAGTAAACATAGTGGAGAACTTGTAATTTAGTTTACTTCATGAGTAATAGAAGGAAGAACATTTGCTCCTAGGAAAAAGGGATCTGCCCTGACCAAATGCTCGCTCCTTCCTTCCTTCCTTCCTTCCTTCCTTCCTTCCTTCCTTCCTTCCTTCCTTCCTTCCTTTCTTGGTGTGTAGTTTAGAAAGAAGCTGACATTTTTTTGTAGCAGTAGCACAAGAGAAAGATGTTGGTTGGCTTTGAAAGAGTGATGTCATGTTAAAGCAGACTTGTTAAACACTTGGAAATGGACTAAAGCACAAGAGGTTAAAACTGTTAAATGTAGTCCACTCTGACTTTATAAGGATTATAAACAAAATATATTTTCATGCTACTGGGCATTTAATATCTACAAAATTGGAAATAGCTCACAGTTTGCGTAGGAAAAATAATGCAAAATAGTCCATTTCAAACCTAAAGATATAGCTTGCATATTTATTTAGTAGTACTATGCCATGTACATAAGTGTTCCTGAATTCCAGCCTGTTGGAAAGATTCCAGTGTGGATTGTTCAACATGGGCATAAAGGAAAAGATTTGAGTGACTCGGGTTTTAATAACAATTATAGGTAATTTTTATTGTATGTAGAAATAACCTTTCATCATTTGAAAAATATTTGTTTTCATTCGTATTAAGTTGGTAGTATAGAGTACTATGGGTGTTTTGTGAGTAATGTATTTTTCATGTAAGCTGCCCAGAGAATGTCTGTTGGAAGATGGTGTATAAATAAATTGTTTTAACATCTGTAGTCTTCTTTCAGTGTTCAAAATAGTTTACATACATGACTAGCAATTCCACTTTCTATCATTAAGTGTGGTCATTAAGTAGATGCAAAATACCTAAATTCAAAACTTAATTTTCTGTCTTTCAACCTTTTCTACTTCATAAATTGGTCTGAGGAAAGAAATACATTGACCTTTTTGTGTCAGTATAGTGTCCTTAAAGCAAAGATTGGGACTTTACCTATCTAGAATGAGCCTCTAGATCAGGGGTCCACAAACTCTTTAAACAGAGGGCCAGGTCACAGTCTCTCAAACTGTTGGAGAGCCGGATTATAATTTTAAAAACATAGAAATGAATTCCTATGTGCACTGCACATGTCTTATTTGTAGTGCAAAAATGCTTAAAACAATAAAATAATTAAAATGAACAATTTTAACAAATATAAACTTTTTTATATTTTTGTATTTTGTATTGTATATTTTGTATTGTATTTTAATGGGAAGTGCGGGCCTGCTTTTGGCTGATGAGATAGGATTGTGGTTGTGTGCTTTCAGACTTAGGTTGAACCTGAGCAAGGGCCGGGTAAATGACCTTGGAGGGTTGTATCCGGCCTCTGGGCCTTAGTTTGAGGACCCCTGCTCTAGATTATAATTTCCATGATCCCTTGTAAATTTAAGCCCTAACAAATTAGAATGCTAAATATTTCCTATCACTTGAAAATAGGGTAGCATATTTACACTTTGTTATCAGAGAGTATCTGCAAGGCAGCTATTATTCATTGGAACATTGTGCTAGATTCCTTAAGATTTGACAGTACCAAATTTCAAGTCAGGTAAGTTTATGCCACTAGAAGAAAAAGAAAAAAAAAGGAGTGGCCTAAAGCCACACGGCAATGCCTAGTTCCAAACTGAAACACCAACTGATTTACTGCTTTAAGGAAGCTATGGAGATATTTGAGAAGTATTTAATGAAGTGGACTCTAGTCCCGGAAAGTGTAAGACAAAGTTTTATCATAAGTTTCAAAGGTGCTACAGCAGGCATGGACAAACATTGGCTCTCCCAGTGTTTTGGACTTCAGCTCCCACAATTCCTAATTACCGGCTGTTGGGAATTATGGGAGTTGAAGTCCAAAACACCTAGAGGGACAAACTTTGCCCGTGCCTGTGCCACAGTATGCCTTTATAATTTTTTAATTGAAATCGTACCACGGCTATGTCTTTCAATATTACAGAACGCGGCATACTGATGAGAAACTTCAACACTGACAGGGTGTTCCAATTGTCCAAAATTCTATATGATGGGGACTTTATAAATGTAGTAGCCTATGCATCAAATCTATGAAGATATGTACATCTGGCCTCTTGAAAAAAATTAGGCTATTTCTCAATAAGATCAATGGGTCTGGCCAATGGAAAATTGTTGCGTGCCTTCAAGTCAAACTTCCGACTTGGAGAAAACCTCAGGCATCCTGGATCAGTATAAAGAAAAATGGTTAACTGCTGCTAAAATTCCCAGTGAATGGGAGAGTGCTCTTCTATTACTGATAAGATTGCAGGGAGGAGACTAGGGGAAAGAGGAGGGCCCACAATTTCGTTTTGGGCATAAGTGCAGACACATGCAGTAACAGGTATGTTTCAGCTAGTAATAAATAGCCCTCTGCTGCTGTTGTGATACTGAAACACACAGTGCCTACGTGCAGAGAGCTAGCAAGTAATATCTGATATGGGCTCAGGGTCTTTCCAGCACACACTCGACTCCAGCCATTTAGGCCTGATTTTTATTATGCAAGCACTGCCTCTCCTGGAATTTTACAGCAAGGCCAGATAACTTCTATTTCTAAGCCTATCACAGCCATGTTTTGTCTTTTCTGTTTGCTTTCTTTATAAAGCTACAAGGGAAAAAAAATCTCTTCAGCACAGAAAACATCTGAAGGTGACATTTTCTCTCATCTTCAATCTCATCTGCTAACTGATGAGCAAGTTGTTAGGCCTTGTAGTACATGATAAATAAGGGAAAGTACATAATCACTATTCTAATTGACCATTCGTCTCCTCATAAATAGTTTTATTACTATTTATTATTACCAGTATTTATAAAACTAAAATTATAACAGCAAAACAACACCCAAACACAAGGAAACTCCAGAGAGGAAACAATCAGGGACAGCTAATCATCTCCAGGCACTGGAATTTTACAGCAAGCCAGATAACGTCTATTTGTAAGCCTATCACAGCTATGTTTTGTCTTTTCAAAAGATTCCAGGCACTAACAAGCCACACCAAAAAACTGCCAGGCCATCAAATGCTAATCAAGGTGGCCAGTTGAAACATTCACACCTAGCTCCAGCAGACAAGAGTTCTTTGTCCCACCCTGCGTCTTCCACAGATATATAAACCCAATTTTCCTAGTTCCAACAGACCTCACAACCTCTGAGGATGCTTGCCATAGATGCAGGCGAAACGTTAGGAGAGGATGGCTCTAGAACATGGCCATGTAGCCCGAAAAAAACCTACAACAACCCAACTCCAAAACTCAAGATCAACTCCCACCAAACCATCCCAATATTTTCTGTTGGTCATGGGAGTTCTGTGAGCCAAGTTTGGTTCAATTGCATTATTGGTGGAGTTCAAAATGCTCTTTGATTGTAAGTGAACTATAATTCCTAGTAACTACAACTCCCAAATGACAAAATCAACCCCCCTCACCCCACCAGTATTCAAATTTGGCCATATTGGGTATTTGTGCCAAATTTGGTTCAGTGAATGAAAACACATCCTGCATATCAGATATTTACATTATGGTTCATAACAGTAGCTAAATTACAGTTATGATGTTTTATGGTTGGGCGTCACCACAACATGAGGAACCGTATTAAGAGGTTGTGGCATTAGAAAGGTTGAGAACCACGGGACTAGTGGTTTTTCAGGTGGTCTCTATATTCATGGATATTCATATTTGCCAAACGGAGGTGACATCATTTTTACCTTTGCAATAAGGTTATGGTGCACCGGAATTTCCAATATGTATAGACAAGGAAGACTCCAGCAAAATAAAGAGAGAGAGTTGCCAGATGTGCAAGCTGGGTTTAGAAAAGGCAGAGGAATGAGAGACCAAATTGCCAATATCTGCTGATAATGGAGTTTCAGAAAAACATCTATTTCTGTTTTATTGACTATTCTAAAGCCTTTGACTGTCTGGATCATAATAAATTATGGCAAGCTCTTGGTGGTATGGGCATACCAAATTACCTTGTCTCTCTCCTGAGAAATCTGTATAAGGACCAAGTAGCAACAGTAAGAACTGACCATGGAACAACAGACTGGTTCAAGATGGGAAAGGCATACGGCAGGATTGCATACTCTCACCCAACCTATTCAACTTGTATGTAGAACACATCATGCGACATGCAGGGCTTGATGAATGCAAGGCTGGAGTTAAAATTGCTGGAAGAAACATTAACAACCTTAGATATGCAGATGATACCACTTTCATGGCCGAAAGCGAGAAGGAGCCAAGGAGCCTTCTAATCAAGGTGAAAGAAGAAAGTGCAAAAGCTGGGTTGCAGCTAAACATTAAAAAAACAAGATTATGGCAACAAGAATGATTGACAACTGGCAAATAGAGGGAGAAAACACGGAGGCAGTGATAGACTTTGTATTTCTAGGTGCAAAGATTACTGCAGACGCAGACTGCAGCCAGGAAATCAGAAGATGTTTACTTCTTGGGAGGAGAGCAATGACCAATCTTGATAAAATAGTGAAGAATCATAGAATTATAGAATCCTAGAGTTGGAAGAGACCTCAATGGCCATTCCAACCCCCTGCAAAGAAGCAGGAATATTGCATTCAAAGCGCCCCCGACAGATGGCCATCCAGCCTCTGTTTAAAAGCTTCCAAAGAAGGAGCCTCCACCACACTCCAGCAGAGAGTTCCACTGCTGAACAGCTCTCACAGTCAGGAAGTTCTTCCTCATGTTCAGATGGAATCTCCTTTCTTGTAGTTTGAAGCCATTGTTCCGTCCTAGTCTCCAGGGAAGCAGAAAACAAGCTTGCTCCCTCCTCCCTGTGACTTCCTCTCACATATTTATACATGGCTATCATGTCTCCTCTCAGCCTTCTCTTCTTCAGGCTA